CTTCACTTCTTACATATACAATAGATAGTAAGCATGAAGCAAGTATTCAATCGGATCATCAGATGGCTAGTTTTTCAATAGATTGGAAAAAAGATAATCGTGGTCCAGGATACTGGAAATTTAACAACTGTTTATTAATGGATTAAAATCATAAAGAATTGATACACCAGATAATAGAACAAACTATAAAACATCATGCTCATACATATGTTGAACCAACAACAATGTGGGATACAATGAAATGTATTATCAGAGGGTACACGATTCAATATGCTTCAAGAAAGAAAGGAGAAAACCAGGAAAAGCGAGAAAATCTTGAAATCGACATTAAAAAGCTGGAGGATATGCCAACAAAAACTAGTGAAGAAATAAGCAGATTGAACATAAATGAAGAGAAATTTGAAAGCCTTGTTGCCCAAGATGCCCAGGGAGCTATGGTTCGAAGCAGAATCAAGCAAGCCGAATATGGAGGCAAATGTAATGAATATTTTTTGAAAAAAGAAAAGTACAATGTGAACGAAAATGATATCAATTTATTACATTACAATGGAGAGCAAATCAAAGATCCACAAAAGATAGCAAATATGGCCTCTGAGTATTATAAAGATTTATTAACTCCAAAAACTATTTCAAAAACAGAAGATATAAGAGCATACTTATGTACTGTGCAGACAACAAAACTTACAGAGGAAGAAAAACAACAAAGTGAAGGCTTATTAACTTTGAGGGAATGCGAAAACGCACTGAAAGAAATGAGAACAAATACCATCCCGGGGGAAGATGGTTATACAGTGGAATTTTACAAAGAATTCTGGGAGCATCTTAAAGAATTGCTACTCAGTTCATACAATTATTCTGTAGAAACCGGGAAAATGAGCAAATCACAATCGAGAGGAGTTATAAAGCTTCTTCCGAAACAAGGAAAAAATCTGAAATACATTGAAAACTACTGACCAATTACATTATTGAATGTGGACTATAAAATTGCATCCAAAAGCATAGCTAATAGACTGAAAAATGTAATACAAAAATTGATTCACCATGATCAAAAAGGTTTTATCAAAGGAAGGTATGTATATTGGTTAAAATGTGAGACTATTTTTTAATATCAGAGATGAATTGAAATATAGGGGTCTCTCTGGAACTGCACTAAACTTAGATATAGAAAAACTTATGATTCTGTTTCATGGGATTATCTTTTTGAAGTGTTGAAATTTATTAATTTTGATCATATGTTTATCAAGTGGGTCAAAACATTGTTTAATAAAAATATATCAATTAAAGGGAAAATGTTATATACTGAAGATTGGAATAGAAAAAATCTTTGTTTTATTAAAGATATCTGTGATTCTAAACTCCAAATTGCAACGTTTCCAATCATTTTCATCATTATTGCTTTTTGATTTTTATAATGACATGCAATCATATTTAAAATTTTTATCCATGTATACCCCAAGCATAGAAAAACAATTTAGTAAAAACCCCTCAAGCCAATCCACATCTTAGTCTATTGGAAGATATTAACGCATCGATAAAACTTCCAGATACATATATGATAAGCTTCGTAATGTAAAAATCTTGATGCCTAAGGAGAAAATAGAAAAATGGTCAAATGAACTGTGCAAGAACTTGGATAATTGGTTGACGCAGTATGACAAAGTTTTTTATTGCACTATCGAATCGAGACTTCGATCTTTCCATGTTAAATTTGCTTTGCGAGCAGTACCTACAAATTACCTATTATTTAGGATAAATAAGACATCAAGTCCGAAATGTACATTTTGTGAAAGGAATGTTGAAACCGTGTTACATTTATTTTATTTCTGTGAATTTGTGCAACAAGTTTGGGAAGTAGTTAATGCATGGCTAACTGTTGAATATGGTCTAAATCTTAATCTGACATATAGAGAAGTCTTAATGGGGGTAGAGCAAAACCAAGGTTTAAACTGTGTTTTATGGAGTGCAAGATATTATATCTATAAATGTACACTACGTTATGAAAGGCCTCAATTTGATCAATTTTTATATATGATAAAAAGTATATTAAACTGTGAAAAAATTATTGCAACTAGAAAATGTAAACTGTTAAAACACGTTAAGAAGTGGAAAGTTATCATAAACTCATTTTTTTAAGTGCAATTGTAATTATGTGTTATCGTGTGAATAAAAAGTGATGTTTTTATTAATAATGATAAAAAAAAATCATGTTGTCGGTTTCACACACAAATCGTTATGGTTAATCGTTGTTGTTGCCGTCTGTCATATCCAACGTCTATCTTATCGAAGAAAAATCCCTTCATTTTAATTTTCAATCCTGAAAGATGGAAGAGGTATGGCTAGACTTTCCCATACGTCCGGCTTTAGGCGAGACAGTCCCGGTTTTCAACGGCTTGTCCCGGCGTCCCACACGGTCAGCCAAAAGTCCCGATTTAGCGTTCAGCCAATCAACATGGTACATGAACATAACCAATTTAACATGTTCTCGATACTGCTGTTGCCGTGTGTCGCACCGATAGCCTACTTACTGATGGTGAACCGTGAATGCGTGTTTTTATTGAACACGTTTAGTGGACATAACGATCGTTTTGTTGTTATGTTGTTCTTTGACAATTTTCAGAAACCGAGTTGAAATATTAAAAAAACGCTTTCCTCTTTGATCACTGGACCAATTGCCTTGAAATTTTTAGTGGTTAAAGATGAAATTTACTATTACTTTTGTTTATTTCAAATACTTCTGTTAGCACTGTAAGATTTGTTTTTGTTTGCTATGACGTCACTGAACGTTCTGCGGTCATCGGACGCCATTTTGTGTCCGACTGTACTGCTTCGCTTGGTGTGAATATATTTGTAGACTGTGATCTGATGATACGGTAAACCGTACTGTAATGCGAACAGACGTGTCCATATATTTGGGCGTAGCTCTCTTGTTTTGTTTCGTTGTTTTCCGCTAACATTTTTAGTCGATAGTTTTACAACTTGTCATGTGTAAGCCCGGTCCGCCAAAAGGGTGCTTAACGTTAGCGTGAATTTATTTCTATTATTCGGACTGAAAGCGATATTTAGACAGACAGCACATGAACTCTCGATGACATTATGGTCACAAAAGACAGCCGGGGTGGTTAAATGTAGGAACCTATTGTAAAATCGGTAAATTAGACTATGGTCTTTGGAGGCGTCCCGCTTCGAGGTCACAAAAATATGGCAACCCTAGTTATGGCGCATCGTGTGACCAGAGGCGTGCAAACTTTTATTCAACGTACGCTTTTTAGTAGTTACATGCACGAAAAATAGTTATGTTATTCGTCTTATGGCATTATTAGAAGGCCTTGCATAGATAATGAGTTAAGAAGCATAAATTTCTAAAGAAAACTGCTATTCAAATTTATTGCCACACCAAATTTAAACGAATTCAGTGAGAAATTTACAGCTGGCTTCTTTTCCGGACTACTTTTTTGAAATTTGCTTTATTGTAAATACTAGCAATTCAAATTCCTTTTGCCAAGTCTGTCAGAACCGATAGATGGGGGGTCGTTGGGACCCCTATTTTAGACAAATATTCGCACAAATATATTGAGCCAAAGAGTGCAATTTTAAAATTTTCTCAAATGTGCAAAGTAATCTTGGTTGAGATATCTTCAGTAAAAATCGCCAACATTCATTTTTAAATATTTTGCTGTCGAAACTCACTTAATCTGGAATATACTCGACAAAATTGACAGATATGCTGAAACCAAAACTCTTTTGGCTTTTGTATCTCTCAATGGTAAAATTCTTCAAACTACTTTTTAATTGCTTAACCTTCAATTGCCCGTTCTTACTAATTTATTGGCATCTGTTCTCAGTGATGAGCTGGAAAAATCGTAACAACCGGAACGCACCATATTCGCAAAAATGTATTATATTTACAACACGACGCAGACGTTTACAGAAAGTTTTGTCTGGCCTAAGATAGAGCCGAAGAACTACAATGAAATAATAAAAAAATTTCTGAACAAATCATTGATTTGTATTATGAAAGGGTAGGCCACAGCGGTACTTTGCATTTTTCATCTGCAATACGTGAAAATTTTTAGATTGTGAAGAGGCATGCAACTATGTGTGACGACCCTTATTTTAGACTTTTGGTTGCTGTTATTTGATATTACTGCTATATTTTGTATTTTAATGTTCGGAACACTGATGGCGCTGTAACACTGTCCTTTGCTATCCAGTATCAAGTTATAAAAATGCATCTGCGTTTGCTTCAGTTAGATTTCCAGTGTTTTAGGGTCTTTTTATGTCTGTTTAATTGCTGCTAGTTCTTAAGTATGATAAAAGGTGCTTATTTTTGATTTTATGGTTGATAGTATAATTACAGTTGTTTTCAGTACAAATGGTTATTGGTTAGTTAGTTTGTCATGTACCGGATTTTAGGGGTTTTAAATTGATTTTTAAAGTTGTTCTTGATTTTAGGGTTTGTTTAATATTTCAGGATTTTCTATTGTATATATTATTTTTCTTGTTTTGTGATGCTCGATGTTTCAGTAATCAGTCAGTAATCAGTAATTTATTTTTTCACCAAACAGAAAAAAAACACTTCATGCAAATAAATATAAAAAAGGAATTTAAATACGGCATTTCAGGGCGAAAGGAATCGCGAAAAACCAAAACTGGTTAACGAGCAGCGACACCCGTGAATTAATCTAACAGAAATATAAACAGGAGAGAGAAAGAAGTCAAACATTATATCATGAGAAAAAAAAGACAGCAATATTCAAACCAAATACGTACAACACTAGACTCCGAGCACCGTCAGTAATGTAACCATGGAAACGACATTTCAAAGATATAGCCACACAGAGTACGGTGCCGGTAACCATGGACTTTGTTAAGTTCACCTTCAAATAGAGAATGAGGTGGAGCTGAGGTGAGAAAGAGGTGGTGCTGGAGTCATTACAAAGTCCAAGAAGAATTGAGAATCAAATGCAAAAGCAATCCAATAAGTTAAAAAGCAAGATAACATGAATAACAGGTAAGAAAATATTTAAAAGAAAAAAACACTCAAAAATTATTCCGGCAGGATAAGAGTTATTATTAGGATAGCTCAACAACCTACCTAGCGTATGCAATACATAGCCATACCGGTTTTAAAAAATAATATTTGATCAATCAAATAGAAGATGATTTAAATATTAATCAACAGCAGCAATAAATGGTCCTGGCAGGGAACAGGTAAGAAGAGAGCATGAGTTTTTTATATTTAAATTTAAAGGTAGAGTAAACATTGGGGGATACAATTCCAAATTAAAACGCCTTTATATTTTAAGGAATTTTGGGTTTTGCTTAGGGAATAGCGGGGTACAAATAAGTTAAATCTTGACGAAGAGCGGGTGTTATGCTCATGCATGGAACTAAGTTGAACAAAATGATTGTCAAAAGCCGCAGGTAATTTCTGGTTGTGGAATTGATGCATGATCTTAGAGATCTCAAACTTGTGAATGTCGGGCAATTTTAATACCCTGATCTTGTGGTATAGGGTGCTTAAGTTGGAACGAATGGGTGCTCTAGTGAGAATTCTAATGGCCTTATTTTGTAGGACCTTTAATTTATACAAGTTTGATTGGGAGGCAGCTCCCCAAGCAGCTATAGCATATTGTAAATGGGATTGGAAAAGGGCAAAATATACAGTTCGAAAAGTTGCGTCTTGTACATAGTGCCTGAGCTTTCTCAGAATCCCTACCGATATTGAAAGTTTTCTGTGTAGTTCAGCAGTGTGGGTGTTCCATTTTGATATGAAGGCCCAGATCATTGTATGAGTGGACAACTTCGAGAGTGATACCATTTATTTTTATCGAGATGTTTGCATGTCTAGTACGAGTTTCGGGGATGAACAACATCACTTTAGATTTATCCACATTCACTGTAAATTTGTTACAAACCATCCAATCATATATTTTTTTAATTCCAGAGTTTACTTTGTTTTGGAGCGTATTCAAATCTTTTGAACTGTCAAGCAAACAGGCGTCGTTGAAGTTGGAGGAGGACGACAGATCATTTATTGCGACGAAGAAAGCAAGCGGTCCCAATACAGAACCTTGAGGAATTCCACAGTGGATGGGGAGCATCGCGGACCTATTGGAATCCACTTCGACAAATTGTTGTCGACCGAACAGGTAATCGCAGAATAAGTTGCCTGTAGCACCTCGAAAATCATAATGTCTCAGTTTGTGTGAGAGAATAGAGTGATTGACGGTGTCGAAAGCTTTTTTAAGATCGAGGAAAATACAACAAACAAATTCTTTTTTATCCAGTTTTTCGTAAATATAAGAAATTAGGTCGAGAATAGCGTGGTTGGTCGAGTGATTGGTTTGAAATCCGAATTGACATTTGTTGATTAGGTTGAATTTGGTACAAAAATTGAGCATTCTGCTGTGCAATAGTTTTTTTCTGATTTTTAAAGTTGTTCTTGATTTTAGGGTTTGTTTAATATTTCAGGATTTTCTATTGTATATAATATTTTTCTTGTTTTGTGATGCTCGATGTTTGGTATTTTCATTGTGTCTTTTCTGTTCTGTTGATTTTATTGGAGTACTTGTTTGTATTAGGTTTTTAGATTGGCATCTAATAACTAAATTAAAATAGCCATATTAGTAGAGAATATTCAGAAATGGATCAGATCATATAAGAAGATATTTTGGTCTTGGAATATAGACAGACGGTACGCTACATTTGCGTCGAGTTTTTTGAGATTTAGTTGGAAGTTTTGATTAATTTTAGCTCCATTGGAAGTCTGCATTTTAGGGCTCTTGAAATTACAAATCACGTGATAAACCGTAAACCTTGCAAATTTTCAAAAGAGCGAAATCCAGCATTCGCAAAGTATACCAGGTATCACATTATTACTTATCGATTTTAATCGGTAAGTATGTTGATAGGTATTTGTCTGTTTGTTTGTCTGTTTGATGCACGCGATATCTCACGAAAGCAAGATTAAATCTGCTCCAGATTCCAGTATGTGCATTCATCATATGTCGTACCAGAAGCCTATTGATTTTGGATGAATCATGTAGTATAATTAGCGAGTTATTAATTAATTAGTGATGGGACACAAGGTGTCACTATGGGGTAAGAGCGCTGTTTTGGGGATCCCCTAACTTTCGATCGATAAGTCTTCGGTCTCTGACCGATATTCTCGTTTTTCATATTTTTATGATGCCCAAATATTAGGTGAGCTTATTGGTAGAATGTGCCGGATATATGCAACTTTCCGATTTTTACTGTTTTTCGAATTCTCACACTTTGGCAAGCGTTGGGTCATATTTTCCGCAAAATATATGTTTATTCTAATTATGTTAGGTTATTATATTTTTACTAGCAATTTCTGTTCTTATTTCCCCACGCCATAAAAAGTCGCCCATAATCTTGAATTTGAAGTCGTAAAAAATGGGAATCGGGAGTGTTGAAATCTCAGAAATGTTGTTTGAAACAATATGACCGCGCCTGCTTGCTTGGTCACAAAGCTAATTGAATTTAAAATACTAGTAGCCTACCAAACGTGAGCGGCAATTTTTCGGGAGGGCAATCAGGAAAAAGCCACGTTGCATAACACAACAATAATCACTGATATTTCTACTTCCCGAGTGTGTGATCATTGCCTGATTCAACAGTGAGTAATCGAAAGAAACATTATTTTGACTTCATTCCAATTCATTACAGCCCATCGCGTGATAATCATGATCAGAAAATTTCAATCGATCAATAAACCATAAGATTTCCGTTTTGAACTTGCATATGTACGGCATCAGATTTACGTCACATTCTAACCATTGCCAGCAAAATAGCATTGCGAAATCGAATCAAAAATCTACTTCGTGAGTTCGTGTCTGTCTGTTTTAATCGAATTTGATCTCTGCACTAATTTTTTCATCTCTGTATATCTTTTTAGAAAGAGTTTTCAGCCGTTATTTTTTAATTTACCTCTTCGCAAATTTCAGAATAAAATTATTTATTTTTGATATTTCTACAAATACCGAGCAACAAGAGGTCACTGGAAAAGGGGACTTTCACATTGGCATTGTGCAGATGTCTAAATGGATTGCGTTGAGTTTCTATAGGTACAGTTACAGTTTACGACAACGCTAATTCCTTCTATTCCTATAATTCCTATAGCGCGGTGTCATATTGGTTAATTTAACGTTGTTTCACATCCCGGGTTCAAATTTCATACGCATGATAAATACTTGTTGATAATGCGAGGCATCATGGGCTGTGATAAAAAAGCTTTGCTCACTCGCTGGTATTCACTGTTCTATAAATAATGTCATCTTGAGGGGTGCACTTCATATTTGTCATGAGATGAACAATTCAGGAAATATATACAGTGTGTCCATCAAGTCAAATTTGAGATATTCATCATTTAGCTCTGTAATAATAATCTTAATGTCTTTATGTACATCCTGTATATCATTTGTGTTTGTAGAATTTTATACGTTATTTTCTGTTTTAACTTGTCTAAGACTGTAGCAAATTGTGTGTAGTACAATTATTTAAAACCCAACGGCTTGTGCCTCGTTTAAATTAATATGATATATGACGAACGCCGGGAAGGATCGAGGAAACATATATTTCGTTTGGTTTAATATGATAGATTTTCTGTTACATCGGTCAGATCAAGACAATTCGCGGGCACGTGGAGGCTTATTCTTCAGTCAAATTTTTTTCATCGCCCGGTCTTGAATTAGGGTAATACGCCATACAATTGAGTGGAATTCATATACTATTAGATTTTTAACCAACCGTTTCGACTTGAACTGCGCTCGCCGCTCAGGGGCATTGGCATTAACTGTCGCACCATAATGCTTTGGCCGAATTCTATTAACCCTTTTCCGAATTGAAAGCATATGGTAACTTTATGAAAATATCCTGAATCCATACTCTTACTACAACATTACTTTCAGCCCATCACGTCTAATAGAAATGGTTCAACTTTTCCTGTTTTTCCTTTATATTGAGATAATAAACAAATAAAATATGGGTAACATGAACGTACTAGTCTTGCTATATTTATTGTGCTTGATAGCTCTTTATACAGTGAAAGCGGACAGCCAACACATGGTATGCAAGACGGTTGAAGACATATTTGATGATACAAACCACGGAGGTCTGTCTCATTCAGACCATCGCCTGTTCCCAAAGGTGAACGCGGGTTACCTGGAGAGAAAGGTGATTCTGGTATCGTGAACTCAGACAAAACCAAAGCAATAATACAAGAAATAGTTAACGCAGGTAAGCCACTCGTAGGCTTCTGTTACACTTTTGTAAGAATTTGACGACTTTGCCTCCAACAAGGCTCAAAACAAGCAGATATTGGTTGACTAGGATTCTAATATGTTATTTGAAATACCCAAAATTTTTCTGATTTGCCATTGTATACTCGGAATAAAACTGTACGGTCATAGAATTCGTTCAAACTCATCATTTACAACCTGGGGCAGCGGCTCAGAAACTTTTGTTGCCGCTTTCAAATAAAACTCAATTTTGTGATGTGTACTTTAAGCCTTTTAACATGTATGTCTAAGGAATGAAGGGAAACGGTCAACTTTTCTTCCTCACGTCTGCCTGATTTTTTTTGAAATGCTAAAAAAAGGTTGTTTAATATCGATTCAGCAAATAAATCAACGGTAGGTCGCAAAATTGCAGCAAGTATTGTCTACCTCTATTGTTACGTAACAAAGAAGGTATATAACAAACAATAGAACATTTGTAATAAATCCAACATGTATATATTATTCATTCCTATTTTAGATATGTTTAACTTAACGCAATTCTGTTGATTTTCGTACCCTTTGGAAACCGCTTGCCTATAGCATTTATTTAAAATATTTGTGATTGCTATTCGGAAATGGATCAATCTGTGTTATACTATAGACTTATATCTAAGTGCGAATGCATATAGTGTTCTTATTATCTGTTCAGGTATGGACAAGATGGCGGACATTGTGGAGGAAAGGATATTAGAGAAGCTAAGAAATCAAACCGGTGAGAGCAAGAACTTACATATCAATTTTACGAATGTTCAAGTTCGACATTATTTTTGTTTCCGGAGCGGTGGGTAAAATCCCTACGTATTGTTCCCGAATTTCCGAGATACCATGCTTTCTAACTTTGGGTTGGACGCGCTCGCGTCGCTTTGTTAATGTTAAAGCCACTCAGCGCTCTATTCGGTTTTGTTTGAAATTTCTATATGGTTTTCACTGAGGAGCTACGATGTTTTCATTGACCGATCGATGCAAAACTTAACACATTTCATGCCATTACAATCAGGAAAACTTGCCCTTGCTCTAACTAGTTTTTTGTTTTTATTTTTTAAATGACTAATTGACGCCTAACTTGTATAAAACAAACCGCGTACATAACTATTTCAACACTTTCTCGGGCGAACAGAAAAATAAATGTAATGTTATCTTTGCAGAAAATGATGCGACCACAGAAGATACCACTACAGTAATTGCGACCACTCAAGGACTGTCAACTGAAGGTATAATAATTGAAACTTAGTCTTTGAGAATGAGGGGTATAAAAACATTACGTGCGGTCACTGGACCTATGAACGTTATGAGAGCATGAAAAAAAAAATTCCCCAGAACAAGGCTCTGTACAAACAGTCAAGAATAGGTAAGGGACTATTGGTTTTTCACTTCCATTCTAAACATATTTTCGCATAAGAAAGCTAGTAATTCTCAGATGATCAGGGAATTTTCACATATTAAATGCTAAAAAGCAAGCGACCACTAATACTGTTGATTAATTGCGATATCTACTAGCGATCATGTCGGTTGTCTTTCATTGACAACTCCAGTTATCTAATAATCAGTACGTTTTAGCGGTTTCCCTGTTCATATTAGGCTAAACTTTTTCAAGTCCCATTGGTTGGCATTATCCGGCGCATAATTCATTGATATACTTCATACTTCTTCAGCTTCAATAGATAGTTTTCCGTAATTTGCTCAGAAAAACGTTCACTTTATTTCTGAGTGAGTTTGCGTGACCTTGCTTGAAGCAAATAAGATGGCATATGATCAAAACTAAAATGCCCACAATCATTATAAAGAAAAGAGCGCATCAAGATGGCGCACAACCTGAACTCAGGTTGTGTACTAGGTTCAGGTTATGCGCCATCTTGGTCCGCATACTTCGGGAGTACCGAAAAAACTACAAAAGACAATTACTTCTGAATAAAATAAATAAAAGTTTTGAATTAAAACATGAAAATAAATAGTTCTTAGCAATTATGTTCTAAATCAGGGGTGGCCAACCTTTCACATACCATGCGCCACGTTTTAAACATAATGTTTTAGATGCGCCGTAAATCTCTTGTATTCCCACGCCTAATGTCCGCTTCTTGTTGAAATTATATAAATTTATAATACACACACATATATACACACATATATGTAGTTTTTACAATTTACAACTTCACATGAATAGAAATTAAGCAAGGAAGTATAATAAAACGCAAACGCAAAAATTCGAGCAATTTACGATAAACAGATTACGATTGATTACGAAACAGGGAACCATTGTGACGCCATGCTTCAAGTAAAAACTACAGCCTTCTTGAAAGTAGGAGAAAAACGCATTCTGTCTTATGAGCATTACGCAATAAAGCTGTTTTCAACAACGAAGAGAAAAAGGTACGGGTGAGAAGCTTTTTGGCCTAGCGTCGCGTGATTTTACTCCGGGCTTCTTCGAGATTAGTACTTGCGTCACAGCAAGCGATTTTACGCTTCGCTTTTGTTGACAACGGTCAATTGAAGTTTGGATGAAAAAGGTGGTATTTAGGGGTCATTTTCAGCATGTTGTGGGTTGATTTATAATAAATTTTTTAGGCTTGGGCAATTCAACTGGTTGTTCAATGGTTATTGGGAGATATTTGGGGAGTCTGGGCAATGGAAAATCCACGTTTCAAGCTGATAAATGACGATTTCCTATTTTTCCAGAAGTTCTGAACTTTTTACTTCAGTAGGGAAAAATAGTAAATTTTACTAACTTTTGCTAAAAGTCTAGAATGAATGTCATAAAATCCGTCCAAAAGCTAACGTCGATAATCGCCCGTTGTTTCTAATTCCAACAAGCCGTAAGTGGGCGGCGTGGAGTAAGGAGAATAGATTTTAGGTACAATCAAAAGTCACCATGTAAATTGCAAAAAAACGGCTTGGCGTGGAGAAACCAAGTGCAATTAACAATTTTGGCATGAAAAGGGTTAAAGATGCAATGCGCCACCTCTAATCATGCAATGCGCCACGTCAGAATGTAGCGTTGTCTATAATTCAAAATGTTTTCGAGCGATCGTTTATGACACGCGGAACTACAACGTCACATTAAGCGTCGCTGAATCTATTTGCGAAAACAAACTGGCTAACATGTATGACATCACACACTATTTACGACCAATGATTCCAGATGGATGGTTAGGGATTTATGTTCGTACGGGAATGACTTACAAGGTAGATCTAGTCTGAATCATGTAGGAGAGAAGTTCAATTTAATTTATAACACTACACCAGGCTGATTTGACTATCATACCCTATTTAAAAAATTTGTTTGCCAGCGTTTTCCAACTTTAATCAACAAATCCAACCACAAACTTTTGTCTTTACGGGTAATTCAATAATTTGAATCCGTCACCAGTGGAACGCTTTAACTTTACAGCTCTGATACTAAATCAGAGAAGACTAATCCAAACTAATTTGACTTATGTGTCTATTACATTCTATTCTCATCCACCAATTGAAGTGTGACTGAGCAGAATATTCACGTTATAGTGTCACGCTTCATTCAGTTTTTTTTACTGGGGACCAAATAAGTTTGTTTTGCTCTGTCATATCATATGACAAGGATTACTATTTTCAACTATATATATATATATATTCAATTATATTTTCAAACTGCCATTTGTTATACTTCTGACAACATATTTTTCGTTTCGTCAGCTCGGTCAGCTGTATTCAACGACGGGCTATGCTATATTTCTGCCAACTGAAGTTTGGAATCCTTTTTTTACCTATTCCGATGCATCGTTCACAACTGTTGCTGTTCTTGTCGAGCGAAACCCAGAAGACAAAGATCAAGGGATTTTTAATGCTCGTCCTTCCGATGTATATCACGGAGCCATCTGTGAAAATGATTTATAACTCTGTCCATTGAATGATCGATAAACAAAATCGATAAACAAAATTGACCTTGGCAGAGTCACACAAGTTAACGACTGGTGATAACTCAATAGGTCATACAATCGATTATTACTGACAATGTAGCTCGCTGACAGAGGTCTGCCCGACAGACATTAAAAGCAAGTGCCGTTTTAAAACAGCTTTTTCACTTCAATTGTCAAGGTTTCGTAACAATTACGATTTGCAATTGCGTGAACTTGTGACGTTATCTCGCTTGCGAATGTCTATGTGACATTGTATATCCACTAAAATGTATATGTTTCAGATTCTTTTCAAATCATTGCGGACCCCCTGTGCAGTCATCACGGATCTCCAGGGGTCCGCGGCCCCCAGTTTGGGAAACATGTTTTTAACATTGTGAGGAAGGAGAAGGCGGTGGTCAGAAAAGGCCACGTTGCATATCACAGAAATAATTACTGATATTTTAACTCGAATTTTGCTTGATTCAATAATGAATAATCGACATAAACTCTATTTTAACCTGGTCAGTTTGTTTTCAAACATTTCAACTTGTTTGACTTGTTTCAGGAAATGACCGTTCATAACTTTTGTTGTTTTGAACTAACATACCCCTGGCATCAGTTTTTTTCTTATTCTAACCATTGCAAATGAAATAGCAATGCGGAAAATTACCAAAAAAATAAAAACAATAATATGCCATTCAATTTATGCTCAAATATGTTGCGAATTGACAACATCATATCCTGTTACATTACACAATTACATTACAACAGTTTATATTATAATTGATTAGAATTTTTGTCCATGCATATGACGCTCCTGCCTACAAATAAGAAAACCGACGGTTTGTAAATAAAACAATACTACCGATACTGGTTTTGAGTGTAGACAATAAAGCAATACCAGTTTCAAACATCAGGAACATAAGGCGCACGATCAATTTCTGAGGAAAAGGGGGTATAGAGCGCGCCTTGTGGTCTATAAAATGCGGTACTTCTGGTAGAAATACATTAAACATAGATTACAATTTCATTTTTATGTCATATGTTGTCATTTTTGTACGTGACTGCACATATAGATCGTTCTAGTAATTCGTTGTTGTTGTCTGTCTTATCGGGGAAAATAGCTTGATTTCAAATTTAAATTCTGAAAGATGGGAGAGATGTAAAAGCGCTGGGAATAAGCTTGCTATCACACTTCTGATTATCCTGCCCGGGATCAGAGGTTTCTGTTCCCATGACGAAGAAATTAGGTGCGAGAGGGGAAGTGGACCAATTTAAGTTTCGTTGGTTTTTTTGTTGTTGTTATGTTGTTATTTTTTTTAATTACACGCTGCTTAACACAAAAATAATTACTGATATTTCTAACTCTCGAGTGCCTGATTCAACAGTGAGTAATCGACACAAACACTATTATAACCTGTTCAGCGTCGTTACAAACTTTTTAACTTGTTTGACTTGTTTCAGGAAGTGACCGTTTGGAACTTTTGCCGTGTTAAACTAGCATAACCCCTTTTGCATAGTAACCAGTGAAATGAAAAAGAAATGCAAAAAATAATCAGAAATCTAATTAGCTTTTGTCCGTTGTTATCGAATTTACTTCTGCACTAATTCGTTCATCTCTGTGCCAAATATAGTTCCTTCTTAGCAGTTGTTATCAAATTCTATTCTATCAGTTAACTCACTTGATCAAATTTTTTTCCAAATATTTTCTCCCGAAGTGTGTAAACTAAGATGGCGGACACCGGAATGTAGTATGTTCACAAGATTAGGGTTAGGCCATAGTTTTATTCCAATTTTCCTTAATTTAGTTTTATTACGTGCTAGCCAAGTGACTCCCGTAGTATTTGTACCTAACATTATGGCCTAACCCTAACCTGGTACACATACGCACACATACGTTCCGGTATCGGTCATTTTGGTTCACATACTTCGGGAGTACCAATATTTCTACCAATACCATATTGATTTAAGGCACCACAAGTTTTGATAAGATCGGTGGCTCGTCGTGCATAGATTCAGTATAGTTTTGCGGCAATCGTATATTTTTGAATAAATATGGCATGTCGAGGAAAATATATCAGAATTTCGCCATATATTTTCGTGGGCGTGGTAGTGACATCGTTGCGATGTTTCACAAAGTTAGAAAAAACAAACTTTCTTTTGGTGACGCAATACGTATCGTGAAATTTGTAAGAGATGGACTATTTCTCTTTATCGTTTATCTCGTTTACGAATGTCCGTGTGACAGTGTAAATGCACTAAAATATGTCTCAGACTATCGTTGCGGTTACCCTGTGCAGTCATCACGAATCCCCACGACCCAGGTTGAGAAAACTTGTTTTAAACAACTATTTTTGTTTTCTGATTCAACAAAAAGTAACGAGATAAACACTATTTTGACCTGGTCAGCTTTTTTTTGAACCTTCAAACTTGTTTGACTTATTTCAGGAAATGGCCGTTTGATATTTTTGCCGTTTTAAACTAGCTTAACCCCCGGCACCATTTTTTTGTATTGTGACCAGTGCAAATGAAATCGAATTGCAAAAGATAATCAAAAATCGAACTAACTTTTATCTGTTGTTATCGAATTTAATATCCACACTAATTCGTTCATCTCTGTGCCAAATATATCTTCTTAGCAGTTGTTATCAACTTTTATTTTTTCAGTTGATCACATTTATCCCCCAAATATTTTGGTACTCCCGAAGTGTGTGAACCAAGATGGCGGACGACGAAATGTAGTATGTGTACCAAGTTAGGGTTAGGCCATAGTTTTATTCCAATTCTCCTTAATTTAGTTCTATTACGAGCTAGCCAAGTGACTCTCGTAGTATTTGTACTTACCATTATGGCCTAACTCTAACCTGGTACACATACGCACACATACATACGTTCCGGTATCCGTCATTTTGGTTTACATACTTCGGGAGTACCAATATTTCTACCAATACGATATTGATTCAAGGTACCAAAAGTTTGATACGATCGGTTGCTCGTCGTGCATAGATTCAGTATAGTTTTGCGGCAATCGTATAATTTTTAAATAAATATGGCATGTCGAGGAAAATATATCAGAATTTCACCAAATATTTTCGTGGGCGTGGTAGTGACATCGTTGCGATGTTTCACAAAGTTAGGAAACCCAAACTTTCTTTAGGGGACGCAATACATATCTTAAAATTTGTAAGAGATGGACTATTTCTCTTTATCGTTTATCTCGTTTACGAATGTCCGTGTGACAGTGTAAATGCACTAAAATATGTCTCAGACTATCGTTGCGGTTACCCTGTGCAGTCATCACGAATCCCCACGACCCAGGTTGAGAAAACTTGTTTTAAACAACTATTTTTGTTTTCTGTTTCAACAAAAAGTAACGAGATAAACACTATTTTGACCTGGTCAGCTTTTTTTTGAACCTTCAAACTTGTTTGACTTATTTCAGGAAATGGCCGTTTGATATTTTTGCCGTTTTAAACTAGCTTAACCCCCGGCACCATTTTTTTGTATTGTGACCAGTGCAAATGAAATCGAATTGCAAAAGATAATCAAAAATCGAACTAGCTTTTGTCCGTTGTTATCGAATTCACTTCTGCACTAATTTGTTCATCTCTGTGCCAAATATATCTCCTTAGCAGTTGTTATCAACTTTTATTTTTTCAGTTGATCACTTTTATCCCCCAAACATTTTGGTTCTCCCGAAGTGTGTGAACCAAGATGGCGGACGACGGAATGTAGTATCTGTACCAGGTTAGGGTTAGGCCATAGTTTTATTCCAATTTTACTTAATTTAGTTCTATTACGAGCTAGCCAAGTGATTCCCGTAGTATTTGTACCTAACATTATGACCTAACCTTAACCCGGTACACATACATACGTTCCGGTATCCGTCATTTTGGTTCACATACTTCGGAAGTACCAATACTTCTACCAGTACCATATTGATTCCAGGTACCAAAAGTTTTGATACGATCGGTGGCTCGTCGTGCATAGATTCAGTATAGTTTTGCAGCAATCGGATATTTTTGAATAAATATGGCATGTCGAGGAAATATATATCAAAATTTCACCAAATATTTTCGTGGGCGAGGTAGTGACATCGTTGGGATGTTTCACAAAGTTAGAAAAACCAAACTTTCTTTTGGGGACGCAATACGTATCGTGAAATTTGTAAGAGATGGACTATTTCTCTTTATCGTTTATCTCGTTTACGAATGTCCGTGTGACAGTGTAAATGCACTAAAATATGTCTCAGACTAACGTTGCGGTTACCCTGTGCAGTCATCACGAATCCCCACGACCCAGGTTGAGAAAACTTGTTTTAAACAACTATTTTTGTTTTCTGATTCAACAAAAAGTAACGAGATAAACACTATTTTGACCTGGTCAGCTTTTTTTTGAACCTTCAAACTTGTTTGACTTATTTCAGGAAATGGCCGTTTGATATTTTTGCCGTTTTAAACTAGCTTAACCCTCGGCACCATTTTTTGTATTGTGACCAGTGCAAATGAAATCGAATTGCAAAAGATAATCGAAAATCGAACTAGCTTTTATCTGTTGTTATCGAATTTAATATCCACACTAATTCGTTCATCTCTGTGCCAAATATATCTTCTTAGCAGTTGTTATCAACTTTTATTTTTTCAGTTGATCACATTTATCCCCCAAATATTTTGGTACTCCCGAAGTGTGTGAACCAAGATGGCGGACGACGAAATGTAGTATGTGTACCAAGTTAGGGTTAGGCCATAGTTTTATTCCAATTCTCCTTAATTTAGTTCTATTACGAGCTAGCCAAGTGACTCTCGTAGTATTTGTACTTACCATTATGGCCTAACCCTAACCTGGTACACATACGCACGCATACATACGTTCCGGTATCCGTCATTTTGGTTTACATACTTCGGGAGTACCAATATTTCTACCAATACCATATTGATTCAAGGTACCAAAAGTTTGATACGATTGGTTGCTCGTCGTGCATAGATTCAGTATAGTTTTGCGGCAATCGTATATTTTTTAAATAAATATGGCATGTCGAGGAAAATATATCAGAATTTCACCAAATATTTTCGTGGGCGTGGTAGTGACATCGTTGCGATGTTTCACAAAGTTAGGAAAACCAAACTTTCTTTTGGGGACGCAATACGTATCTTAAAATTTGTAAGAGATGGACTATTTCTCTTTATTGTTTATCTCGTTTACGAATGTCTTTAAGACAGTGTATATCCACTTAAATAAGTATGTTTCAGACTATCGTTGCGGTTCCCCTGTGCAATCATCACGGTTCCCCACGACCCAGTTTGAGAAAACATGTTTTAAACAACCATTTTTGTTTTCTGATTATACAAAAAGTATCGAGATAAACACTATTTTGACCTGGTCAGCTTTTTTTTCTGAACCTTCAAACTTGTTTGACTTATTTCAGGAAATGGCCGTTTGATATTTTTGCCGTTTTAAACTAGCTTAACCCCCGGCACCATTTTTTTGTATTGTGACTAGTGCAAATGAAATCGAATTGCAAAAGATAATCGAAAATCGAACTAGCTTTTATCTGTTGTTATCGAATTTACTTCTGCACTAATTTGTTCA